GTGGAGCTTCCTGTTGTCCCTGAACTCCAACTAGATCTCAATAGCTTTAAGCATCATGTTTCTGGTCTCCTTTTAAGCCCCAAGTACCTAGTTCTCCACCTTGTTTCCAAATTGATTGGACGACAGTCTGGGCCAATCAAACGTCCTAACTTTTTGGCCTAAGCCCATCATGTTTTTCTGAATTCACCGCCAACCCCATCAAGTTTCCTTACATCAGTCCAGAGCACTAGCCAACAAACCTTGGGCAAAAGCCTAAGCCTCATCAAAGTCTCAAGCATTTTCTAAGACTCAGGTCTTGACTTAAGCCTGCATAAAGCTTTGTCTGAGACTCAAGCCTCTTCAAGGTCACGGGCCTCGCAGGTCCATGGGCTATTGCCGATAACCACCATGTCTCCTGCACCATTGGCCTCTGCTGCCACCAGAGATCCTGCTTTGTCTAGGATGGCCTCAGGGCCACTGCCCTTGGCTTCTACCACCCAAAGGATAACCTCCAGGTTGCCTGACGAAAGTTTTGTTTTACTGTGTTTGGATAGTTTTCGTCTTGTTTTTGGTCATGTTCTGTAATGTCTTTAGCAGTCACTACCCTGTTCTAAATGCCATCAGTCTAATGAAAACTTTTTTGTAGATAGTCAGTTTCACCCTGTCTGCTCAAAGCTTGCCAACACTCTGCTCGGTCTGCAAATAGCAAGTTTTACCTGTCATCAGCAGGTTCTGCCTTCACCTGTCTCTTAAAGCTTGCTACATGTCTATTTTGCTTGTCATCTACTGGTTCAATCGTTACATTAACATTTTTTACAAAATGCTGTGTCTTCTTGTTTCAGCGAGCAACTTTTCTGTTTGTTCTGTTGAATGTTACTAATGTTACAGAAAATGGAAGATGAAAAGAATAAATTAATGCAGATCTGGACAACACACCAAAAGCACTACAGTGGGAAATTTCACTGACTGCACTAGAAGACACAGAAGAGTCTCTTCCTCCATTGCACCTTCTTCTCTTCATAATACATGCAGACATTTATGTGTGACGCTATGTACTTGTCTTTCAAATCTATAAAATATGGATGGATAAACAGCTAGAAAAATCAATTTAATTAAGAAGTTGCATTGCAGACAGTATTTAGATTTACATATTCAACAACCCAGTATTTTATGTTTTCTATTTCCTATGGCACCCCAGGGCTTCCTAATGACTTTAACTAACTGCTACCTGTCTTCTGCTCCAACAAGTTGCATCATCGAGGATTGCTATTGCCACTACAGTCAAAATAAATTTTTCAGAGCACCACCTACACTCTAAAACAGACATGTCCAAATTGATCCTCGAGGGCCTCAAGGTTTTAAACAGTGCACTTTAAGATTTGTCCATGGTCCAACATATCAGATTTAAAAAGCTGATTTACCCCATAAGTTTGCAGTCCATTTCTCCAGAGACCTGTTAATCACCTAATTACTTGATGCAGCTGTGTTGGACCAAGGGCGCATCTAAAAATTACAGGATACCAGCCCTCAGTAACTGAAGATGCTCTCCTCTACCTTAGCATGTAGATTCTGTTCTGGCCCATCCAGTAAAGAGCATCAGCATTGTAGTTCTAGTGCAGGTTATTGTTCAGGTAAACACCCAAGGAGTCAACCAGCACAATGCTATTCCCCTGGATGTTCACCAATGTCAGTGTAGTGGGTCTGTGCTGACTGAAATCCGCCACCAGCTCCTTGACTTTCCATATGTTGATCCAAAGCTCAATCTGTTGGTATTGGTCCACACATTCCTATGTCCATGGTCTGTACTCTTAATAATCCTCAATCTTGATGAGCTTGACTATTGTTTGTTGAGTTTTGTGAGAACTTCTGTAGGTGACAGCAACAAAAGGTGATGAAGAAGTCTGCAATACAAAGAACAGGAGCGGAGCCAGCACAGTTCTCTGTGGGGCCCCTATACCGGAAATCAGCCTGTCAGATCAGCTTGTTTCCTAATACCTTTGTTGTCCTTGGACCACTTTGTAATGGATTTGATCATATGCTTATGATGTATATCCATTTATAAGACCCCTTTTTGGCTAAGCTTTAACTGTATGATGTTTGTTATGGATGTATCCTCAATATTTTCAACCCCTCTCATGATGCCATTAACTTTGTTAAATACACTGATCTTTCCAGTGACAAAACATATAGTCAGGATGATGTTCTCAGGCCTGCAATCCTCCACCTTTTTCCTAAACTGTAACAACGGGGTGCCGCAGCACCCCTTTCAGTTCAGCTCCAGTTTTTTTTTTTTTACTGATCAACTGTGCAAAAATAATCCCTAGACACTTCTTAGGAAGAAAAGATCCAGTTTTGATCCAAATACATACATCGTAATTATATCTTCATAGTACATTTCATTTTCATTGATCATACAATTTCAATAGTGTATGGGAAAATTTCCAAATAAAACATAACATAACCAGATTATTTTCCATTGACAGAAAAAACAACCCATGACTCATGGTTCCTGGTATGTCTACTTTTACAGGATTTGATTTTTATAGAGAGCTCAGTCTTCTTTTGTTCTTCAGATATCTCTTGATGTTAAAACAACCATGTAATCTATAGGATGGACGTGAAATCTACATTTAGCTTGGATGGATAGATAGATGGATGGGTGGAAGGGTGGATGGATGGATGGATGGATGGATGGATGGAATATTTATGCAACAAGGAACGGCCAAACAGTAGAAGTGACTGACTAAGATGTTATGTATAATATAGAACACTAGATGGCGCTCTTGATTTCACTTTAAAATGATCCCTTCGATAAGAGAACGCGTGTATTTCTTTATCAGCTCTTTTTTTTCGTTGTCGTCAAGAAACAGTAGGTACTATTTCCCCATTATAGTTTCCTATTTTAGAATAAACTTATTGATCAGGCATTGATCATAATGTGATAATTTTCTAATTTATTTTTATTTTTATCTATGTTTATTTACACTTTAAAGGAAAAAAAAAGGCCTAGTTGGCTCTACAGACCATTAAACGTCATGATTGCGGAAGCCATGGTACTGGAGAAACCTTTTTTGATTATGTAATTAAGGTGTATGTGGATATCATAACAAATTGCACTTGCATCTTTTATGGCTGAACGGAGCCTTTGCTGAGCAAACAACATTATAGCTTTCGGTTATTGGTGTCTTTATATCAGCTGGCAGATTAAAAATTGGATGAGTGATATTCTAACTTTAGCTGCTGACTTTTTACATTTTATTTTTTCTGTCTGAAATGGGTTACATGCATTAGTTGAAGCTATAGCCTATGTCTTGTAACCCTGGCATATTTGACATAAATGACATGCAGAACTTGCCCAAGTTTGTGCAGGAAAACCATACAAAGTTGCAAAGCTGGTTTATACAGCAACATATATCAGTTATTAAATTCCAAAAGTAAAATGTATATTATTTAACTAAAATGAGTCATTTTTGTCATAATTCTTATTATAACAACTAATGAATCCCAAAAACTTAAATTACAATATAATGAGAATATCATGCAAGATCCCCCAAAAAGGGTGCTTTAGAAAAATCTTGAAGTCCACTGACGCCTATCTTCATGCACAGTGTGATAAATACTCACTTGTTTGCTGCTCCCTTTGTATAAATTGCTGGATCAATGCAACATGGCACGGAGGCAATCAGCTTGTGATTTCACTGAGGTGTTAAGAGATTGGTTGCTTTTATCACAGCCTTCAGCTTTTCTGAATTATTGTCATGGTTACACCTCTTCTATTTTAGAGCTTGTGCTCTGAGAAGGTTGCAAGTACCCAGTTCAATCCCAGCAGCCTGCACTCTGGGTCCCTGAGAAAGACCCTCAACCCCACACTGCTCCCCAGGCACCACACAATAGCAGTCCACTTCTCCACAAAGGGGAGGGGTTAAATGCAGAGGTAAACTTCTCTAGTGTGAGATCAATGAAGTTAAATTATTATTATAACAGGACTCCATGGCTTTTGTTTGGAGTGAAGTTTGGTTGTCAGTCAAGTCAGTCAAGCAAAGTAAACCCTGTGGCCATTTAGCTTGTTTAAACAGTGTGGACAAGTCTGGATAAAAACATTAGATCAGCATTTTGCATTTGACAGAAACACGAAGAGCTCTAAAATTCCGTGGTAGATGGCCATTTTGACTTTGGGCTTAAGAAAACCTAACTGACAAACATTAGCAAAGGAAATTGGTCCTCAAATCAACATGTAAAAACAGGCACTCAAGTAGGTTGAATTTGGTTCCTTTCCAGTCATTCGGGAGACATTGACTTTAAAAAAAAACAAAATTTACTTTGGCCCATCTCAGGTGGGTTATTTCTTAGGTTCTGGCTCAGAGGCTGGAGTAACAGATGGAATTAAACTATTTTAGCTATCTATCTTCTGGCTTGTAAAGCACTTACTCAAAACTCCTGAAAAGGCTTTATTTCATTATCCACAATGCTCATTTTCAATTTCACTTTTTCCTTCCACTGAACTTTCAATCCTCTGTTCAGAGCCTTTTTTTGTATTTACTTTTTGTGGCTTAGCCATTTTGTGGGATGTCTGAAAGAGTGTTAAAACAAGGAAGCTGTGAAGCCAGTCCCACGCCATAGTATGACATTTTGCAAAAAAATATATATATTATGCAGTATTTCAATTTTCTGAAAGTCTTAATTTTGGATCACCAATAGCTTTGATCCATAATCATAAATATTGACAGAAATAAACACTTCAATTTGTCATGATGTGTCTGGGAAATCCATCAAATGAATGCGCTTCACTTCTTTTTTTAATTAAATGACAATAAATTAGATGTTAAATTATATTATAAATGACTAAAATGTGGTTGTAATACAACGGCAGACCTAGGCTCAGTGTCAGGTTGCAGTTTCCATCTATAAAGTAGAAACTGGGAGCAGACCCACGCTCTCTGCGAGTTAATTAAAACGCCCCCCTGATTGGACGGACAGATAATCTCGGTGGGCCGCCTGCTCATACTAACTTGTGAGCGGGACGGAGTGCCAGTCACAATCTGCTAGAGGCGAGGGAGGGCAAGAAAGACCACTGTAACTACAAAGGCAAGAGGGGCGCAGTTAGAGAAGTGTTGATAAACGTGGGCTATGCGCGCAACAAGGGGGGAGCGCAGTGCACAGAGGAGGTGAACGCATGTAAAGACTCTGCTTCACACTCACAGCCTCCTTCCTGAAGAGACGCAACGCTGAGAGTGGAAAGGAGTAAGGAAAAACTCTAAGAACAACAAATCAACTCCTGGACAATAGTTCACTGACTGCCCCCAAGACAGAAGCTTGGATAAAGGGGTCCAAGAGAGACTTTTGTCCTGGTCAGAACCTGCTCTGGAAGAGAAAAAAGAAAATGAATGTCAGTGATGAGAATCTGCTGAAATCCATTAGCAACGACGCGCTCCTTGACCTGACGCAGCGCTACGGGCAGCAAGCGTTCGGGTTTGGCGCTGGCCATGGTGCTGGAAGCCCCGGCAGGTACCCGCTCACGCCTGCCGCCGATTTTCTCTCCGGGCAGACCGCGAAGTCCAACGAGAGCGGCGGGGAGCACACGAGCGACGACGAGGACGGCTTTGAATCACTTGAGTCGCGGAAGAGGGGTTCCTCATTTGGGGACGACAAACCCGGCGGGCCACTAGCCAAAAAGTCCAAGGAGCAGCGGTCCCTGCGGCTTAGCATCAACGCTCGAGAGAGAAGAAGGATGCACGACCTGAACGACGCTTTGGACGGCCTGCGCGCAGTCATCCCGTACGCCCACAGCCCCTCGGTGAGAAAACTCTCCAAAATAGCCACTCTCCTCTTGGCCAAGAACTATATCCTCATGCAGGCTCAGGCTCTGGAGGAGATGAGGCGGCTGGTGGCGTATCTGAACCAAGGACAAACCATCACCTCACCGATCCCCACCGCCCTGGCACCCTTTGGACAGGCAGCCGTCTACCCGTTTTCGGGCTCCACACTTGCCACCTGTGCCGAAAAGTGCACCACTTACTCTGGGGCACCGTCGACTCTCTTCAAACACTGTAATGACAAGCCTTGATTTGATTTACACTTTCCCTGAACTTTTACCTTTACTGTACCCATGTCGGTCTCCGTCCCACTCTAGTTCATTTAACGCATAATTCTGTGGAAATTAAAACGGTTTTAGTCTGATGAATAATAGTAATATATGGTTCGGTAACCATGCTTGAAAACTATTGAAATGAAATTGTTTTGGCCTTCCTGTTACCGTGGCTTGCATGTCTCACATAAGTACAGGCCATATCCAGTCATTAACGGAAAATCTGGGAAGTTTGTGTTATCATTTGCAATCTATGCAACAGTCAGTAATTGCACGAAAACTTCAAATAACCAAGACCAGTTTCGACCTTTAGATCTGATCCTCTTAATTAAGTATGAAAACAATCTGATGTTCTATTTTATGATACAGCGTGTTTGTTTTTATTTAAACATATTGCACATCTTTCATGATTGTATTGTACATCTTTGAAATATCTTCAAAACCCGGATATGGTTACATAACTGCAGCCTATAAATTGAAGAAACTCTGGTTCTGGTTCTGGTTGTGTTGCAACATGGGTTTCATATATTGTTTATAGTTTGTCTTTATAATTAAAACATATCTATACTCCGAGTCGGTTTGCGTCATTATTTCGCATCTTTAACGATTGTAAAAAAAAAAAAAAGCTGGAAATGAAGGTTGTGTTTAGAATAATTGTAAATGTTGCATTTTAATTTTTTTTATAAATGTAAAAATTTCAAATAGGCTTCTTTAAAAGCAGTGTTCTCTGAGCACTCTTTTAGAGCGAGCTCTTATTTTTTATTTTTATTTTTTTTATTAAGATGGGTCTAAAGGAGCTCAGTGGGACTGGTGGGGCCTGTTTGGCTCGCAGTGGGGTCGGTGGCGCTGAGGGGAAGGGCGCAAGCGCCGCCCGGGGCTACCCACGACCTGTCTCTGGGTATTTGGGTGATTGCAGACTTGCTTGGCGGGCTCTTACACACTGGACAGCTATTAACGCGATTTCTGCTCCTGTCTCTTTGGGAGGCTTAATTTATTGAACGTTACAGGAACACTTTCCTCTTTGCAGGTTGGATGACTTTAGAGAATAATTTGAGATATTAATCACAATTGTTAGAGATACAGCGCGGCACTTCTTTTCTGTTTTTCTTTTTTGTGTGTGTGCAAAAAAAAAAAAAACATGCACCTTTATCAAACAGGCCAACTTCTTTGACATTATATAATCACCTGAGAGCAGTAGCCTTGCTCATACATGATATTTTGCAAATATTGGCATATATAGAAAAACACCTCATATTTAAAGCAGATTTATTTTGAGTAAGAAAAATGTTCATATGCTCAGTTTAGATTCACTATAAAAACGACTCTTGAAGATATCACATTCTTATAAGTACATGTCAGCTTCTATGATTATATCTAATTTTATATTCAATAATGATTAAATGTGCACTCTACATTGGTGCTTTATTATGACATAAAACATGTTGACGAGAATCTAACTGAAAGTATTGGTTCTGTCAAATCTTAGCAATCTGATTCATATAGAGATATGATTTCTAATGAGCAAATAAACCAGCTTAAAAAAAAGTAAGGTTTGGGACAAAGAAAGTTTTTAGAATTTATCTTTGTGTCCATGTTTAAGTAGCGTAGCGGCAGGGCTAATGTCAAACTGGATAGCAAACTGAGATGTTAGTTTTTGCAAAATTCTTACCTGTGAATGACACATCTAAGCTGGATTGATAGGAAAAAGAATTTCATACCACCTTGCTTAAAAAAAAGAGGATAAACAGTTGATTTCTTTGGGATTATTTAGGCCAAAACTAGTTCAATACCACAGTCTGTGCGGAATGCAAGCTCACCGACAAGCTGAGATTTATTAGTTATTTCTGATTAATGTTGTGGATGTCATGTAGAAACTTTAGATTGTACCTTATTACAAAGCATTTTAGTTTTTCCCTATTCCCTATCAGAAAAATAATCTGTGATTAAATTTCCTGTTTTAATGGAAGGACAAAAATTTTTTTTTTTACTTAGAATCATACAAATTATATTGAGGAAGAATATTTTTGAAATTGGATTTTTTTTTTGGCTTTGTTATTAAACTTCCAAAATCGATGCTCCTACTTTTCGACTAAATGTATTGGTACATTTCGTTGGCTTACTGTCTATTTAATCACTTTAATCTCTCTGATGCGCACGCTTCATCTACATATTCAAATGTATTGAAAAATATTTGATTTAATTCTAAGCTAATCTATAAGTCAGAGTTCATTAGATAAGACAGTCACATTAGGGCAGCCTGTTTAAGGGCAGTTAGCCACTCTCATACGATTTGTAAACATGTCACAATAACAGGGTGTCCATGGCATCTTAAATTGGCTCTCTGATGACATGCGACTCCTCGTCAGACCTGTGAGGCATTTGGGACAGTGGGGATGAAAAGTGACAAATATTGCCAATAGAAAGGGGTGAGAAGGGGGTGTGGGGGGGTGGTCTGCTCTGCATCCGTCAGCCTCTGTTTGGCCTAATTGTTACAAATGAGAAGACTACTAATACCAAAATGAAGGATGGAAAGTCACTGATCTCCCCATAGGGATGTTAAGCTGTTTAGGTTTTTGTTTCATACCTCGACTGTATTTTCTCAACATATGCTTGAAGGGGAAAGGAGAAATAACTGCATTAAAAGGATGTTCACAACTTTTTAATACAACAGTAGCTAAAGGAACATAAATAGCCACACGTCACTGTAGAACAGGTACAGATTTATGAAATAGATATTATTAAGGATGCAGTTTGTTTGTGGTTTGTACTTTAAATTATATCACAATCCTTGATATTTAAGGCAAAGTAGAACCCAACATGTTTTCTTTGGTTTGCAGAATGTTAAGTTCATTCTCTAAGGGAACACATTTTTTTATTACTTATTTTATTGCTTTTCTACACAAAATAGAATTATTGTTGCTTACGTAATTATTGTTACCTACATAATCATTACACCAATGAAAGTCAGTTCTGTTTATGTGTTAAATTAAAATAAGAGACTTTTAAAAGGGGAAATAATTCATTTTTTTTGTAATACAATTATGAAAACACAAAGCAAATGATTCATAAATAAAATTCATAAAAAAGAGTTTAGCTGCCATAGAACTGGGAATATTGATCTATCAATATCAACATTTATTTCGATTGTGAGAAAATTGATTAATAATGTGGACAAAACCCAAATATTTTGCTTTGATTTTACTTCAATATCATCAGAGCAACAATGTAAATCAATATATTTAAGAATGAAATAAAATGATTTTACTGTTATGCTAAGCAGTACTACTGCATTATCTAACAAAAGGGTACTAAAGCAGCTTTTTGATAATGGGCAAGCTTGTGGAGTATTTCCTTTTGTGAATCTATGTGTGTGTTATGGCACGTGTATTACCAAAAATTGTGTGATTATACCTTTAAAACGTTTTATAACCCATTTTATCATTTTCATAAGCTATGCTCCAAAAATATCAGAGCAGAATATTTTTGAAGTATTTATTGCTAAGGTTCTGGTTAAAACATATAAACATATACGGGTTGAATCTAACTAATAAGAAATGTGCCTTCACATACTAATTTATAGGGATTCAAATGTTCTGCTTAGACTATTTAATAATAAACTGGATGAAAAAATAACACTGAAGCCTTTAGTATTGAGGATATATTTTTTCCACAAAAGGTTCTACAACAATACTACACCTAAAAGAAAATAAATCCAAAGGCCCCTAACAAATGTAAGTGAAAGTATATTAAAATCTTATAAAGAAGTAGTATAAAACCATTAGAGAGGGACATCTTGATGTCTGTTCTCACCTTTTGTCTCTTGCCGACAGAGTTTTTCTTCAGAAAAACACCCTGCGCTACTGACAGTGCTCTGCCACTCTCACGACAGCCCAGTGTGGTGCAGGAGTGCGGACAGACTGTGTGATGTCTGTAAACATTTGTGTTTGCTCTCTGTGGGATAGAAAGGGAGTGATTTCATTAGCATGGCTCGGAGCTTTGAGGTATGTTTGTGCGCTTTTCTCCAACCCTAGTATAGTACTAAAACCATATGCCCTTAAGTGTGTACCTCTGCCTAATGCATCTGACAGCCCTGTTTTCTCTAATTAAACTCTCTTCATGTGCAGGCTCAATGTGTCTGATCCACGTTGCGGCACCCTTAACTTGCATACACACAGACTTGTCTTGCAACAGGGGCCTAGAAGGAAAAATAACATGTTATGCTTATAACAGAGAAGTGTGGGGTGTACAATAGAAAACGATTATTCCACTGTAATTTATTAACAGAAGAAACTTTTAAGCTTTGGATGAAAAGCTGCATCAACATTTTTCCAATGGGAAGTGAGACAGGTTTGTTGATCGGGTTTGGGTGAATGATAAACCTGCATGTGGGAGAATGGTGGATTATAAACAGGGCATGTTGAAAAGAAATACGCTAGTGGTAGCACCAAGAATACCTACCCCCCAAAACCATCCACCGCAGGACAACTTCTGTGCTTCACTATGACATCACACTTTGTCGTCCCTTGCAGCCCCGCCCTGTCGGAAGCGATGAGCGGTGGAGTCAGTTGGTTCTGAGGAGCCATGTGATTCAGGGTGACGTTGCTGCAAGTGCACTGGTACGGGCCAGGGCCTTTCATTTGTTAATCAGATGTCCAAAGGGGGGTTGTAGAGGGGATGTCATGTGTCTGCATGTTCTTCTACATCTTGTGTATTAGTCCCCATGATATTTGCTCCTATGGTGGAATAAAAAACACCAGAATCACTGCAGAGCTGCAAAGTATTTTGCGTATTGCCACAAGGTACTTGACACCATGCATGGTGGATCCATGCAGTGTGAGGGAGGCAAGATAAGGCATTATTGGAGAGTTAATGGCATTCAGAGCCACTGTTAAGTATTTTGTCATATTCAGCCCTGAGTGTCTTAATTTCTCTGACCTTTTTTGAGCAGCTAATCTTAACTCTTAATTGCTTAATATTCTTCTATGCTAAGCCCGCTGCTCAGTCAAATTTCTCCTCCTTTTTTCTCCAGTCAGCATTCCCCAGGTTTTATTTTTTTATTTCTTTCCATATTCCCTCCTCCCTAAAAATCACTGTAGTTATGACACTCACTCTTTCCCTTTTAGCTTGTTTTATCTTGACAGTGGATATGAGCTGACAAACAGGGGCAGCCGTTAAGGTTGTACTGCCTAATCTCTGTAATGGTCCCACAGATATGGGACTGGTGGTGAGGAAACATTGAAAGACAGATACACAAACACACCTCAAGTGAATGGACAAAAGGACATGCTAAGCCCTGGGGTTATAATCATCTCTGTAGTCTAACCTCCTTTTCTTATACACTACTCTCAGCACGTCCCTTTCTCTATTTGTCTTAAATGCCACATACTCACAAACAGGGAGCTGTCTAACCCTCGCCCTATAACCACTAACTGNCTTATACACTACTCTCAGCACGTCCCTTTCTCTATTTGTCTTAAATGCCACATACTCACAAACAGGGAGCTGTCTAACCCTCGCCCTATAACCACTAACTGACGAGACCTGATGGACCGATTTTA